AAATATGGACATGCTGGTCGCCTGGGGGAAACACCTTACTGCCTTCACACTCCTGTCGCAGAGGACAGTACGACTTTACCCCCAGACCGCCCCGTACCACGATTGCTCGTAGTGCGGGGTCTCGCTGCTCTTGGTCTGGCTGCTCCCCTTTAGCCTTCCTGGCATGGTTGTACCTTGTGGAACGAAGTTCCAGCCAGTGTAGCCCGCGGGATCATTGCACCACGTCAAGGTGGCAGCTTTAGGTCGGGACTAGAGTGTCATAGAAACTATCTTTGGCAGATTCAGAGGTACGGTCAGTTGGGGTGTAGACAGACACAATAAACAAGGTGCGATGAACACAGATGTTGCCAAACGAACCGCACAGAGGTGACTACCAACGGGTATCCAATCAAGCAGGGACGCTTCCGCTCGGTCGCTCAATACAATACACACTCCAGCATATCCAGCTGCAGCGGCCTCTACATCACCAGAGGTGCGCAGTCGAAACCTGGATGAGAGCGAGGGGGCAGTCGGTTCGATTACAGTACTTGCGTCCTGCGTCCTTGTTTCTGACAACATACATAAATCAATACAGATTAAGTCCAGCGTACTCGCAGGAGCCACATGTTGACTCATTGCTTTAGTGTGCGAACACGGAGGCTAAGTAGACCAGACAACATAAATCAATACAGATTAAGTCCAGCGTACTCGCAGGAGCCACATGTTGACCCATTGCTTTAGTGTGCGAACACGGAGGATGGCTAAGTAGACAGGCTTTCGGGGTTTGAAAACAGACTTCGAAATGTTTAGGGTTCTGACTGAACTCGGACATACAGAATCTGTAGCTGGTATGAGAGACTGTGGGTGTCGCGTGAACACCCCCAAATATAGCTCAGTGGGTCGCCGAGGTATACAAACCGCCACACCATGGTAAGGTCCAGTCTCTTCGTGACGGGAAGTGGGCTATACCACTGTGCCCTAAACTATTTCTTCGAGTGGACATTACGAGTCACTTTAGGCCGAATATAGACCGACCTGCCTCTTGTGGTGGTCACCACTTGTCCCTTTGTGGAAGCATGCTTATGTTACCTCGGTCTTACACGATAGGATTTGAGTGTATAGCTGTGAACGCTTTTCCTATTTCATTAGAACGAAATAAAATTCCACAAGTACTTGGCCAAATATTTTCGGAATGAATCGGTTACATTATTCCCATGCCGTTAGCGGTGGCACATACTATGAGTAGGGACAGATATGGGTGTCGTTCCCTGATCCCAAACAAATCCGAAACCAACGATGTCAGTCACACATCGGACAAAGATATTATCTATGGCAACGAACGGCTCCGTCTACCCAAATTGTTCAATTATTGTGTTGGACGCAAAATTCATGGCTATAATCACTTCCCTGGGCCTACATTTGACCTTCAGATAACTGCATGGCACAGCGCGTTTCTCCCATTCGACCGTGTACACGAGTGGGACGTGATGCAAGTTTACTGTGATCTACTGACGGAATGCGCAAGGTTACGTGCATGCCGAGACAGACAACAGAAAGAACAATCGAAAGTATCGTCAAGGTACCGTCGTCCGTCAGACAGAAAAAGCGAAAATCCGAAAGATGCATTCTGTTCATATTTTTTCGTCAACCGGCTGTGCAGAGTCGACGACATACATAAACTAGCAAAAAAATCGTCTAGCTATAGCACCCTTATGGTGCCTAGTTGCCATGCCACACGAAGGAGACACGAGGGCTGGGATACTGCCATGTCGCCCAAGCCTAGACAGGGGAAGTCGAGAGGCAGAGGTCGGGTTCGAACCACGGACCTTCCGGTCAGTAAATTCGCCCTCCAACCCCTTGGTCCATCTCGCCCCAGACTAGTAAACTATATTTGAATTCATTTCCTTGAGGCCTATTTTCACCAAGCCAGTTGATCGAAACGGATGGAATAGGGAGAGGCTGTTCCTTGCGACGAAAGCCCTCTCCATCACCGGGATTTCCGCAATCCGCCAATGCTCCTTGTCATCCCTTAGTCTCCTGTTATTTGATTGCTTACGTGCGCCATCATAGTCGACAGTTACTGGCATGATTTTTCCGTTACCAGTGAGACCTGGTGATCTTGACAAAATCCGACGTTCATTCAATCAGGTCGGATGGCTTGGGTAGGCGGTAGTAAAATTTGAGCGCAAAGCTTTCCTCACTCTTTCTATTTTTCCTCAATATTTTTTTCCAATAACTAATGGTACGACTGATAGATAAATACCGAACTGCAATGACAGGAATATTCAACCTACGAAAAGTAAACATGGACTAGTATCAATACAACCGTAGGCTTGTGACAGTAGGAAAGCTCATCTCTACACACATGAGCAAGAATCTAACGGAGACCAACAAATAAATAGTCAATGTGGAAAACAATCACCATGACATTTCCACGATTCAGATAACCATATGTGCTGGATCCACGTGACAGATCTCAACCCATTAATCCTAAAAGAGTACCAGGTGGGTAGCAGACAAGCACCTGTGAGTAACCAACGCGCATGGAGAGCAGTCAAAGAATTCCAGCAATCGGGAAATCACAGTGTTCCGATAGAAACACATGCTTGGATGTTTCTGAGGTTAAATGATTCTCACCAGGAAAGAACTCGATGAGAGAGAAAAGCGAATATCCCCCAAGGATCTTACCTTGTGACCAGTGTACAGTCTGACCAACTTCCCCGAGCGGACGTCAAACAAACGAACGGCGCGATCAGCGCTCCCTGTTGCGAGGTAGTTGACGTTTGGATGCATACACACTGAGGTCACATCACTGCGATGTCCGACAAACACGCGAAGGGCATCCGGTGCATGGTCCGTCGCATACAGATGAGCGCTACGATCGGCCCCACCGGTAGCCACATAGTGCCCATAGACCGGGGCCCAACAGACACACCACACCGGCAACAGGTGATCACGCCAAACTGTGAGCGAACCCCCCCAAAGTAGACTGGACCAAAGCCGAACGGTACCATCAGAGCCACCGGAAACTAGTAACTGGCGATCAGAACTAAACGCGACGCTGTGCACAGAGCCAGAATGTCCGAGGAGGTCACGTACTGGATGACTTTCACTGAATCAACAAGTGGATAACGAAAGAAATCATATGAAAAGTTTGTCACGTCAGTACACTGTGTAGGAATAACGGTTGCACGAGGCATTGTGGATAAAAAACGACCTCGATCTAAAGCAGAAGTGTATTAGGAACGGTTCGGCCTCTGATGAAGATATTTCCGGAAAGCAGTATGGCCAGCAGCGAGAATGATTCCAACAGCTGGTTGGTCATAGCTTCCCCAAACAAAGTGAACATGAGGACGCTCTCAGTGAAACGAGATGAAGAATAGCACATACCCCACAGCTTAACTGCCATGCCCTCGCTAAGATGCCCTAAGGGCTGGGATACTGCGAGGTTGCCCAAGCCTAGACAGGGGAAGTTGAGAGGCAGAGGTCGGATTGGAACCACGGACCTTCCGGTCAGTAAATTCGCGCTTTAATCACTTGGTCCATCTCGTCCCCAAAAATCGAAATCGTTCAGCTGTAGCACCCTTTCGGTGCCTAACACGACCAGCATCAACAACAGCAAGAGAGAATAAAGTCTCACAAAAGAAAGGAGAAAAATGGGACAGGATTAGCCTAGCACATACATCCGGGGTTCCTACACTCCCAACACTCTGGAATGGAAGTGACGGTATGGAAGCAACCGAAATCGCATTTTCCATCTGTCTCAAGTCAAGCACATGGGAGCTCATGTGGGCCCTATCCTGAAAGACAAACACCAACTGCGCCCGGACTTTTCTTCCGTTCTCTTCTATCATGTCATATTCTGTCCAGTTCTGGGTTTCCGTCATTTCGAATAAGGCACGAAAGGTATCACTCTCCTACGCGACGGTAAACCAGTATGCGTAAAACATGGTCCAGCCAACTTGGTTTGCGGTGCTGGTTGAACTCCTTTAGTAAAATATTTTGTGCTTCGTCAAAGATCCATCTACTCGTTACGTCAAAACGGATTCACTGGGTTCAACGGACTCCACCTGTAGTCCTGAGACGTCAGTGGTCAAAGACCTAAAGATGTCTCAGATACCGTTCCACCCGACGTAGCCGATTCTGGTAGTCGTGCAACGATACAACCTGCAAGGCAGTTATGCTCAGAAGGTTGGTGGTTTCCTTTCCGTTCTTGGAAATTTCACTCGTTCGATAAAAAATGAAACTGGTCGTTTCGGCACTTAGTTTCTACCATTATCAACATACGCAGCACCAGAAGCAGCGCGGACAACACCAAAAGTATCACACAGAATCGTACAAGTCTCCCCAGAAAGCTTACAGTGGACGGACGAACCTGGTGCTGGCTTGCGAAGCAAACTCCAAGGTGTGCCAAATAATCAGCTATATCGAGTGGCTACAAGCAGACAAGACTAACGAAACAGACGCAGGTTGTTACGAATATACACTCATTTGCAAACTAATTTAGTTTGTCGAGAGACTCACCTGGAACCCAGCTGGATCTCCCGTTTGTGATGTNTTTCAATCGGAAGCATAACAAAGACACCGTCATGGGAAGCGATTTATGTGAAAAGCGAGTAGCCATGTGGATAAGACGGTCGACCAACATTCTGACCAACTCACGTACACCATGAGCAAAAAACACCCGAGTAGCTACATAAACACAGAACAAAGAATCACGTGATCGCAGGTCTAATGAGCCGACAAGAAATCATGTCGAAATTTACATAGAAAATCAGCGCAAAGTAATGATACAACCTACTCATTCTCATCGTACAACATCTTTGTTTTGATGCGCGAATCATCCTTGTCCAACATGGCCAACTCGGAAGCTGGGAGCATTCTGCGAAGTGATTCTGGACCCAGAGACCAGACACGAATCCGACCGGAACCAAACCCGGCAGCCAACCAGCCCGAATCGTCCGTGAAAGTGGCACACGTCACTCCACCTCTCCGTATGGCGAGCGTCGATTCGCCGGCTTGGACATTGCATACTGTGTACAGAACCACACTGGTGCCAGTTGGTTTCTGCTGCGAATTCTGTTGACGATAGCCACGCAGCAGCGCGCTGGTCTCCCGAGCGAGGGCTTGCCGGGATTCGATAAAGGTGTCACGCAACTGAGCAAAGCAAACCAGTAGAACACAAGGTCGTTTGACCGGTTTTAGCCATTATCAAGCATGGGCGCTGCACAATAATGCAACCTATCAACATGGTGTAAATATGTATTGTGGAAAGAAATAACCAGAGAAGTATGCGTTTTTCAGGAGTACCCTAATTTAAAATGTGAAACAGGATGTCACGCCATGGTGACTGGGTTGAGGTTCGAGTTCCTAGCTGGATAACGAGTGTGCCACCCAGGACCAATGCTTGGACAGGCAATGTGACTCCCACACTCGATGTCACCCTCCGAACTACTATATGCAACACTCGTGTCAAAAATGAAGTTATGCCCGATGTAGTGAGCAAGGTCACTCAGCATATGTTGATGCACGTAGATCACAATAGCTTTCACAAGAAAGAAAGAAAGAAAGCGTTCAGCTGTAGCACCCTTCCGGTGCCTAGCTGCCATGCCACCCGAAGGAAGCACGAGGGCTGGGATACTGCCAGGTTGCCCAAGCCTAGACAGGGGAAGTCGAGTGGCGGAGGTCGGATTCGAACCACGGACCTTCCGGTCAGTAAATTCGCGCTCTAACCACTTGGGCCGTCTCGCCCCACAAGCTTTCGCAAGCACAGAAGAGAACACGCGTGTCATCCGTGACTAAAGTATGATGACGCTACTCAGTTTGATGAAGACTTGGTGGATGAGCCCGAATCTCTTCACGGTTGTTAAAAAGTTAATTCCTGACAGGAACCACAAAATGCGAAGTTCATACAACAGTCCCACCTGCGCAAAAACATCGCGAGCTTATGGACAATCCTACCTTGCCGACAATGATCCTGGAAAATGGTGTCTAAGGCTCCATCCTCTTGCCTAACCCTACCTCAGATATGATTAACCTTGACCGTCGTAATGACTTGGTAACCTGAATGCTGACTTGTCCGTTGCGTATAAACACACAAGGACACAGCTGAATTCAATCTAACCTATGAGTAGCTCCAAGCCTCCACCAGATTTATTGAATGCATTAAATTCTTTAGTAAGTAATAGCACAATACTGTTAGGATGTGCTTAAAGATCGTATGTTCTGATACTCCATCGAGTCTCCTGTAATCTCTGCACAAGAATAACTATCTTACGGATATGGACATACATAAACGCCCTCTCTTTAACGTTCTAAAAGCGACAATTTCAGAACGTCAGAGTAAACGGACGTGAAACTAAAACCACCTTGGGTAGCGGGATTCGATCGAGTGCGGGGGAATTCGAGTCGCCTTTCTGTCCATCCTTGCTCGAAGCTCCTGAACAAGACTGTCCAGCTCCATAGCCATCCCGCCGTTTTTTCTTCTTTACAGGGGTCTGTTCGCCGTCACCGTCTGATCAAAAGAAAACAAGATGACAAGCCTGAAGACGAGAAAATGACTAGGGATAATTCAAATAAAACTATCAACCTTATAGTTACAGTACCTTCCACTTGCTCGGTCGTGGGGGCCTGGTCATCTGATGCTTGTGTGGTTTCACCGGTGAGATCAGACGAAACATTCAAAGAGGGATCTGACAGAAGACCATAGAGAACGGGTTCCTTGTTTGAGTTTCTCGGAGCCTCACCAAACAAAGAACCACGACGACAGTCTAGTTGAAGCTTCGTGCGGGGTGGACCGTCAACAACTAGCGTTCGAAGAGGATTACATTGAAAGGAAGCGGTTACAGGTTACCTTGGAGAGAAAGTTGTTCAGTTAATATGCTCTGAATAACCTGTAGACCATGTTCTTGTAGGAACTTTTTCAACAATGAGTAGGAGGAGTGTGCCACGCTAACCACAAACTCCGAGGCGCGAAAGGACTCTACCAACGGATTGAGTAACAGCTGATCCGCGTCTGATATGTTTGCCAGCATGATGATATCCTGCTGGTAGAAGTCTTCTTGATGTTTCCGGAACGTATCCATGAATACTTTCGCTGGTTCGGACAAATAAATGATGAACTAGGGATAATAACCAGAAGTACCTTCTTCGCTCAGACCCGCGCTAACCAGACGCAGGTAAAGATGGACAAATATGGGATAGAGTAAAGACGACAGCTCCAACTGGAAATTTGTAGACATTGGTGCAAGAACAAACAAACCTTGTGAACATCGGGAATTGTATCAATGAACCTCAGAAGAGACTGGTACTTAACTCCGAAACTTTCGGGTTTGTCATGCGTTTGCCTGGATGGGTGAACCGAGTACATTGGGGGAATAACGGCTTACGCTTTGAATTTGAAAAACTCCTCGGCAGAATCATTCGATAATAAACCGGCTTCTTGCTTTAGAGCTAGTTCCGCCTCCTACGAAACCGTTTTACACACGAGTTGCGAGGACGTACCGTGAACTTATATTTCTGGAGGGTTTTCAAAGCGGACAAGATCTCTTCGTTGAGAGGAAGAGCCATTACAGCCACAGGGTAACTGCTACCGTGGGTCCCTGATCAGATCTGATGTGTAAAGGACATTCTCTGAAACGGAAGACATACTGTCAATGAGAAAATTCTCTGATACATCCACCGAATAACGCATACGAATCACCGAAAATGGATTGCGTAGTGCCATGATTCTGAAAAGATGGAGTAAGGTCATGATGGTGCGTGATATCACCCTAAGTAGCCCTGTCATCCAGTACAGGATGAATCCATAGGGACTGTGGACAGAAGGCCTCACAAAATCGAAAAATCACGATCCATGGTCAAGCTCCATATTGCAACTATGGATCTACATGTGTGTGATCACTGCTCAATGAAAATAAAAAGAGCACTTACGAACGAATAATGCACACTGATATAAGCATGCAATTAAAACAGAGGTCACAATGGCCATGGGGCCACACATACGACTGGATGCGATCCGATGCGGAGCAGCTAGTAAAGAGGTCAATCCATTGAACGTCCGCGCACAGTAGGTACACCACAAGACGCTCGTGCAGAGCCGCTGATGGCGAAGTGAACTCGAAGGAATAGGATCACCGAAAAACCATGCAGGCGCATTTTGAGAGACATCAGCCTACCCAAGCATGATACCATGATATTGCGCCATTATCGTTTACTGCAAAGCAACGGTCTCATCTATTCAGCTGACTTGGTTGAGCAAAAGGTTCACAAGACAGGATCACTTGCGCCCGAACTCGTGCTGTTCCAGCGACATTGTTTCATGTCCCTCCAGGTGTGTTCGCGAATGCTTCGCTATGAAGAACTCCATCATTCTGGAAAGCACTGATAGTAAACTCGTTCATCGATACCTAGTTTGACCGGAACGTAAACTTCTCTCTGCAAATTGGCATGCCAACCGTTCGCTCCAATTGTGTGGACAGATCATCATCATCGTCATCGACAGCATGATATCGGTATCCAACACTGCGCAGTGGAGAGCATACGATCCCCATCATGGAAGGTAATTCGCACAGACAACATCCAGACTCTCCGTAATCTCTTTCACACCCCTCTGCTAGGTCAATGCTTAGCCATCTCTCTGCTTTCGTACAGTCACCTTTTCCAAATAGACGCAAACAGATCAGACAAGTACTGGCTGGGGACTCCATTTTTTAACAAAGGGGCTGGGAGGTCATCCGGACCAGAAGCTTGATGCTGCTTGACAGAATATATGCGGCCACAAACCTCCAGAACCGTACGGGGTACCACTAGCTATAGGCTCCAGATGACTGACAGCGGGTGACCAAGAAAACTGTTGCTCTAAGTATTCGGCCCGGCAGTTGAGATGTTCTTCATTGAAATGGTCGAGTCCCTCTGATCCTTGATGGTTTGGACCACAAATGGTTTCCGGGGACCGGTCGCAAGGGTCAACTGAAATAATCCTCGGGGTGTTTCCGTTTTTCTAAGCTTTTACCACCGAGTCCACCAGACTGTGCCAGAGGCCAAACTCCAAGCACTGTGCAGAGAGGTGGCGATCTGTTTCCAACATAAATTCACATCTGATGGTACAGTAGTGAGAAGATAATCCAGAAGACGATTGTGGTAAATTCGTCCGACATCCGTATCCACCAGTCTTTCAATTGCTAAGTGAATTTTTCGCATCTTACGCGGTCCAGGGAAACGAAGAGAGAACCGACTCCGGATGAGAGCATGACCGGAATTCATAGATTTGCTCCAAAACGAGCAGCAGTCCGCTATTGGTCCGCGCCATCGGTAAGCGGACAAGAGCAGCTTGCTGTACCGCTTTCCTAAGAGTACGAACATTAAGAGTAATCAGATACACTGGGCGTCTAGGCTTGAAAGTGGATTTTGAGTTGCCTGCGTGTGTCAGCGCTAGATAACGCACAGCTGTTGCTGCCAAAGCCAGTGCACGACGAACGGTGTCACCCGTCACAACTGATGGGTTTACAAGGAGAGAGTTATCAATAAGGTGCGGAGAAGGGGGAGGAAATTTGTGTCCGGAGGTCAGCTGGCCCTAACCCATAAGGCGCATGTGCCAATAGCGGTACTGATTCCTGGTAGCGCAACGTATAGTAACACCCGAAACCGGGTCAAAAACACGTCTGCAGCGCTCCAAATATAAATTGTATTCCGCTGCAACATTGTGGAATTTCTGGCACTTGGATGTGCCGTTGTCAATCCACCTACGGCTGATCCCGTCTCGTGAATATATGTTGGGTCCAAAATTCGACCAATCAGAGCTCGCGTTGGTTCCGGACGCACTGCGGGTTGGCGGTACGTTCGAAATTGGTTTCGTTTTTCTCCCCGTGCAAATTTGTGAGAATTCTTTCATTGTTAAAAATCACAACTGTAACACCCTTTCGGTGTCTAGCTGCCATTCCACCAAAAGGAAAAACGAGGGCTGGGCTACTGCCAGTTTGCCCAAGCTTAGACAGAGGACGCCGAGAGGCGGAAGTCGGATTCGAACCACGGTCAGTAAATTCGCGCTCCAAACACTGAGCCATCTCGCCGCCCTCAACTGTTCAATCTATTCACAGAGTTCACACGTGTCATTTGTTGAGTTTTTTCATTTACGTGATAACCTGTTAAGTTGCACTTAGTTCCTATTTTGCGCCCAGTCTCAAGCAGGACACTATTCAATACAGGCTGCTCGATGGCTGCGTCGGTGGATTACAACAGATGTGGACGAAATGGCTGTCCGTCAAACGTAAGACGCGATATGCAATGCCACACCTGCAAGGCCTTGTGGCATTTTAAATACACGGGTTTACAGTACGGCCGGATAGGCCAACTGGCTAACTCTCCCCTACATTAAGGGTGCGACGCATTTCGCAACTAAGAAGACCCACCAAAAACGAAACCGAATCCCCACTGCTGAATCAAAAAGACTAGTGCTAATGTTCCGCTTTAATCGGAAAACTTGACGCTAAACTGGAGCTTCTTTCTAAAGCTCTGAAGGATGCAAACACAAAGAACGCAACGATCTAGACGAAAGTTGATAGAGAACTTCCTTCGCTGAACGAGTACCTTGCGTCATCCATCCCGGGTCCATTGGCTGCGAAGGTCATCCAGCTCTCAGATGTAGCAATACAGACTGCCACGGTGTCTCTGGTGGACAAGTTCGTAAGGGAGAGTAGGCTGATCATCTGCGGGCCATTCTTCAGAGAAATCACGCCAACGAAGCAGGCTCAGTCGCTCCTTGCTTGTGTCCTGACTAAGCCTGGCCACGAATCGCTTCACACATTGGTTACGCCAGAAGAGAAGCAAGCGAATACTTGGGCTTTTAGACACCCTTTTCTTTCCATCTGCCGTACAGATCTTGGAGCGGGCTGTCAGCATTCAAAAGGCCTACCTAACGATTAGGCGTATATCTGAATATCGCCCTCTGGAGGCACGAAAGCTAGGCCACAGCAGTCCTAGTGGAGATGTGTGAAACGGCCTTCCGAATGGCCCCAGTTCAGCCGACCCCAAACTTATGGCCAAACCGACTGCAGTTATGGCCCCTTGTGCTCCAGAAAGCACGCCGACGCAACCGGCCGCTACTCCGGATAGCAGATTCCGCTCAATCACCGCAGACTCCTCGACTACCAAATGCAACGATGCTCTGGAGGAGTAAAGCCTCGCGTGAACGCAGCGCCCAAAGTACGTAGAGCTATCCGTAACAGACGATACAGGTGCAGCAGTAAACCCTACAGCCAAGTCACAACTTCTGGGCTGGACTGTGTCAGAGGTGCGGAGACAAGCGGCGAAACCAAATGCGTTAACTTCGACATCGGGGGGTCCTGCAGGAACCGTACAGCCACTGAGAATGTGAAACTGTCAATCTCTAGCTCCACTCCGGCAAAAGTGGCCTCTTTGATTGTGGACGCACTCGTCGCCCAGGACCCCGAAAGCCAGAGCCAAAAACCTGACCACAGCGAACCGGATATTCCCTCGTGCACCCAGTTGGCCATGCTGATCGCGGGCGACCTGGGTGTCCACGCAAACACGAAAGAAGGGTGACTACAGGCAAACAAGCCATATAAGGTTTGCCAAATCAGAAAACTGATAGCTGGCTTCAAGGTGCAATCCTATGCGACAATGAGCCTCATGGAAGCACCACCAAAACAAGTCCTTTCCGGTGCTGCCACCCAGCGGTCAGGGCCACTTAGAGAGATCAAACCGCGCCAAAATACCCAAGAAATCAAACGGACGCAAGTTTGCTCCAAATCACTGAACCACAGCAACTCTGGTCGTTGAGAGACCTGCAAGTGGCAGTGGTCGAGATTTCCGCCCAAGCGGAAAAAACTTCGTCCCCCAAAGGTAAAAGGGCCGCTCAAACCGGGCTCTCATGGAGCGAAAAACACCTGCAAACGAAAAACAGTCCTCGAAACCGCAGACTTTTTAGGATTACGCATTTTACTTGAACAAGTTAAACTGCGACCAGCTTCAGTGGAAGATTTATATAGGAGCATTGTCCAGGAAGTTCAGGAGGCTGACGCGACGTTCGCCACAAAAAACACCATGCAGTTGGATGGGCCGCAAACAACCTAAAAGGATTCGCTATCTTCTGGAAAAGAGTTCTCAACCATTTTTCAAAAAACAACCACGCAGAAGTGGGCTGGCACCGTAAATCAGAAATCCGTCAAAACAAGCCAAGATTCTGGACATCGTTCGGAAAAACATAAATGTGTTTTCAAATACATGAGATATCGCCGTAGAAACAAGCCATCCGGATTCTCCTTGAGGGACATGAGCGGAGAACACACGAGTGACCTAAAACTGGTATCTGAGGTCTCCAGAAAACACCATACCGGTTTGTATCCAGTCCCTCGAATCCGTGCGGGCTACGGACCGAACGGAGGTGCGTCCTCATTGGTCAGAATGCCAGCCAATCTGGATCAGGCATCTTCGACACGACGATTCTTGTACCCTCACGAAGATTCTGCCACAAGCTTCAGAGACATTCTGTGATTAACCTTTAAATACCGAAGTAAAAATCTTCCTTTGTCTTCATAAAGTCCAGTCTGAAGCCATGGTGTCTTTGATATACCATAGTGGGAGGGTGCTGTCTCGAAAAGCGTGGATTCACAGATAGATGCACAGGATCAAGGCTTTTGCCTAAGTTTCCCGGGTCGGTTTTGTTCTTGTCTTCCAGTGGTTGTCGTTCACCTGAAAGGCGCGAGTGAAAAAGGATGTAGCGCTGCTCTGTAGGTTCTCAGCGCTGGGCAGTGTGCTTTCCAGCGCGAGGACACGCATAAATGAGTGCGTATGGTGCTTTAAACATGGAAAACCGTTGGAGGTAGCTTACCACACCCAGCCACCATCCATAATAAGAGAAATTTCGCCTAATGGGAGTGTGCGCTCTGAGCTTGAAAATCTCACCATGTCCCCGCCCTGTGTTTGCTGGGTCAACGGTGAAAAGCCTGTTGACCAAGTTCTGTTTAAACAAGGCATAAGTATGAATTGGGTCACCTCGGAAAGGACGATACTCCAGGAGAAACAGGTCAAGCGCCGCGAGACACGTTTTGTAGTCCACGGATTTGAGGTCAGCAACCATTTTCGTAGCGGCTTGCCGTACACGCTCAATGGCGGCGATATCTTCCGTGCGTCCCGAGTAGACAACTTGGTTGCCGTATTCCAGGAGCGGTCTGACGTAGGCGCCATAGGGTATTCGGAAGTCCATGCGAATGATACGGGGGCAGGTGCGTCGGATCATCCATACAATGGCAAATTCCTTTTGCGCCAACTTCTCATGGTGCAGTGAGAAGGACAAGTTCTTTGCTCCCATCCCTCAAGGAGCACGCGGATGGCTTGTTTCTGCGGTGGTGTCCTATGTATTTGAAAGCATATTTGAGTTTTTCCGGGCGAGGTTCAGAATGATGGCTCATCTTCGTTTGTTCCATTGGCGAACTTCTGGTTTACAGCGGTTCTGCATTTTATGAAATGGTCGATGCCTAGAAGCTTACACAAATTACTTTCGCCGAAGCTATAGGGTTTTTGCTGTTGCGACTTAAGCGGGAAGTTATTCTAATCCATTCGCCCCTTCTTTTACCATGATGCTGGTAACATTTCGTTTAAGCTTATGAAATTTCAAGGGCGCGGACCGTCAGTGGTCAGTGGTTCGCATTTCGTTGCTGGTTTGCGCGAGATGAAACACAAAATCGCA